CTGCCTGTTCACAATACGAAACTCATTTTCTTCTTATAAATATATTGAAAACAAAACAACATTTTTAATTTATTTGTTGTTTTCAATATATTTGTTTTCAATATATTTGGCATTTAGAGAAACAGGCAGTAATAAATAAAAAAATGTTTAAAGATCACTTGCATGTCCATCAATATACACATGTACATACATAACTACAGATAAAAAACATACACATTTAAATAAAAAGGTAGACAATATATTTCTTATACTTTCCCACTTTTGCTTTGTCAGACCGTCATAAAACCTACGGCTACACAATCACACATACATAATTATTTCCCATATTATTAGTTCTTTTTTACTACCACAACAGAACCTGTTTCTTGCACACACACTTTGCTGATTTTCGGCTCGAATTTAACTCGAACTCAACTCGTTTTCCACTCGCTCGTAAGCGAGTTGAAAAAACAAAAACATGTAAATATCGGTTACGAAGCGAATTCAAAACACATAAAACTCTAATTAAAATTGTGCTCGCGTGTTGAAAAATAAAACTCGCGATTTTGAATTTCAAAAAATTTCAAGCGATATAAATAAAATAGCGATCGCGAGCGATATTTTTAGCTACCCTGATTATAATAATAATTAAAATTTAAAACACATTAGAAAATTTTGACGGCTTACACCCAATTAAAAGTCACCGTCGCCGAAATTTTTAACGCCGCCGCTGACGTCGATAATGTTTATCGGCTAAGAGGTCTAAAATTCAATATGGCGGTTGTTTAATTAAAAATACAAATTTATAAGTTTTGCTCCTCATTTTACGTGTAATTTTAATTATTTAAACATTAAAATAGCGCAAAATAGTAACAATTTTTCATTAAATGTGCTAAGTGATATATACTTTATATATTTACAAAAATAAGATGGCTAAAATCAAAGAAAACACTAGAAAAGTTGCTGCTGCTAAGAAAGCAACAACAATAAAAGCAAAAACAACCACGCCTGTGAAAACAATGAATGGAAAAGTACATAAAGTGCGTGTTAATGTAAAAAATATGAAAAAATCTAAAGAGGAAACCTCAAAAATAAATTCAATTGAATGTAATGATCAAACTGTATCACCAAAAACTCGTTTATGTTTTGTTAAATTACGACGCACCCTCACTAACAATACCAGCAGCAGCTCATACAACAATATTAATAACAACAACAACAACAAAACATTGCAGGCACAATGTAAAGTAAATGAAAATAATAATAACATAGAAGTGAATTCCCCAAAGCTAGATAGATCTACAGAGAAAACAAAAAAGCAGGAAGACCAAGGAAAAAGCCCCTTGAAATTATAAATAATGCAGCTATTCCTGAGAAAGACGAAAATTTTAATGGTAAAACTTTGGCTGCAGCTTCAGAAATTCGAGATAATTTTGCTTTCAATATGAATTCTTCAACTAATAACTCTCCAAAACGTTGTTTTATAAAACTAAAACGTACAGCTAAGCAAACAAACAAAAACAACAACAACCCCCTGAGGCTGAAGGTTTAAAATCGCAAAGATATAAAAGAGCTGCATTAAAAACTAATGGTTTAGAGCCTAGAACTCCTAAATCTATAAAGAACTGTGTAGTTAAATTAAAAAATACACCTCAAAAATCAAATTCAAAAGTGGTGATCGAAGAACCATCAACACCCAACTCTGCCAAAAAATGTGTAGTTAGATTGAAAAGAACACCAGTTATTGGAAAAGAAAAAGATTTCGTTATTGAACCAAATACTACTAGAGCATGTATAGTAAGATTACAAAAAACCCCAATTATACTGGGAAATAAAGAAAATACTGGTAAGTTATAGAAACTATTCATTTTTATTAAATTCAATTTCAATTTCAAATTCTTTATTTCAATAACCTAGCCTATATAGGCCATAATCGGTTATAAATTTCTACTTATGAGATTATAAATTTTATATAAAGATTATAAAGATTATAAATTCATACAGTTAGTATTTCTTGCAATTGCCGTTTTTGTTTAATTTTATTTTACTTTCTGAAATTGTGCAAATACATATTTTAGTTTATTTTTTATTTGTTATACAGTTTATTAAAACAGTAAATTTTCTATAAATTTTCTTTAAGTTATTATTATTAACAATTTCAGAATGCACAGAACCAGTAGCACCAAATCATCAATCCGCAATAGAAGTAAATAAACGTAATAATTTTCATAAATTAAGTTTAACAAAATCACTAAGGAAATCTCCAAAAATAAAGAAATAGAAACAATAATACATTCAAAACACAATGGAGACCAAGAGACAAATAAACTAGAATCGGAAACAATTAATAATAACACAGAAACCAATAATTTAGTTAATCGTTTAAAACCTCAGAACTGTATTAAGCATTTCGCTAAATTATCCTTAAGACGAACAAATGGACAAACAAATAGAAATCTAACAACAAATTTGGAAGTAACACAATTTGAACCTCAACAAAATTCTACAATTTGTTTTGAACCAGCAAGAAATTCCACTTTATTAGAATTTGGTTTTACTAACGCCAAAGATAAAGTAAAATCCAAGCAAACTTCTAAAGACAAATCTTCATCTCAAAATCTAGCCAATAAATCTGAAGAAATAGTTGATCTATTAAATTCTCTAGATGAAGATGATGACCTTTTATTAAAGTCACCAGAAAAGCCGAATAATGAACAGGAGGAAATTATGGAAATACCAAACGAAAAAGAAGTTGAGGAAGGCATTGCAACAACTCAAAGTAATAGAAGTCCAGCAAAAAATCACACCCATAAATTCTTTCATCGTCATAAAGAAGATGCTGCAGAAAATATGACAAAAGCTTTTACTGAACCAAAACCTAAATCGTCACCTGCAGCAGCTAATGGCAAGAAACGACGTTTTTTGACAAAACGTTCTACTGTGGCAAAGCGAGATAATATCTACGAATTTTTATCACAATCTCAAACTTCCGATTCAGATGGTACAACAAAAAATACCGATCCCACAGCTGATATTATTAAAAAACTTATAGATCAAGGAAAAGTACGTGTGGCCACAAATTGTAAAGGAAAGGGTAAACCGGTATTTAAACGCAAGCCGCCACCGCCCAAACAAATGAAAAAAAAAAACCAACTGTGGACAAAAAATCAAAAAATACCAGGAATAACAAAAAAAACCCGTAGTCACTAAGGAACATGCAGCTATAATAGATGATGAAGTTGATGTAATTCACATGGATGATGATTTTGATAATTATGAACCACTTTTACCAGATAATGACGACAATATGGAAAATCAAAGAATTGAAACGGTTAATAAGGCGTTAAACCATAATAACAATAGACATCATGTAAATGATCAGGAAGGTACTTTTAGTCGCTTGGCTAGAAGTGTACTAATAAATGAAGCGGGACGTTCCGATTTGCAAAGAAAAAATGCTTCCTTACTATTAGAAATGGTAAAGAAATTTGTTAGTACACCGAAAAACAAACAAATGCCTTCAGCTCAAGCAGCCTTAGAATCAGAATTATCTCCCATTCCTATACCGCCACTCAGGCCAGCAACAAAACCCTCACCTTGGCGCGTTGATGAAGATGCTTATTTACCTAAAACTTTCAATTTTGCTAGAAGTTCGGGAAATTTGCCATCATTTTCTAGTGATTTCATACCATCAACACCGAGAAAGAAAAACCGAAAAGTCAAGCGACTATAAATTCTAAATTTTCTCCTATAATAGGTAATCAAAATACATCCAATGTAACACCTTTTCAAAGTCCTCTTCATAATAATGTAGAAAACATACAAGCACAAACATCCAACGAAAATTTGCCTGCACAAACACCTAATCAAAATGAACCATCTGTTCTCTCATCATTTTCATCCAACGATTCAAATGCAGAAAATATGCCACCACCTAGACCGTTACAGGAAAACAATAATGAGAATGAAAATATATTTGCTTTGAAACAACTTCCAAATCCTCGAAGAGCCCTCAACTATCGCAGTCCCCTGAAAGCCATTAATATTTTAGAAGTAGTACACTTACCACCCTATAAAAGTTCCAATAAAACACCCAATTCCAAGGAGCCGGCAACAGAATCAATTGAAATGTTTGGTTTTGAAGAAAACTTAGGTGATGATTCTTTGCAAGTCGATAAAAGTGTTGCTTCCATTAGTGCTTCACCTCAAGCTGACATTAATAAAATAACTAAAAACCGTCCTAAAGAAGACCTTTTCGGTTTTGAAGATTTTCTATCTCAAACTGAATATTCTAGCCAGGAAAATGATGAAACAAATAACAATGACATTACAAACAATAATCAAAATTTAACTATACACGATAAACTGCTAGATTTACGTAAACTAAAACCTGCTGAAAACGATATTGAATTAAGTAAACTTAAAGAAAATAACAGAAATCCTTTAAAAACCATATCTCTATTTGATGAAGAGGCTGCCTCAAAAGCAGATGGCTTTAGACAAAGAGGTATTAAAGAAATGCTATGCTCTACTCTGATAAATCCAAAGCCATCAACTAGTAAGGAAGCTTTAAAGCATTTAAATAAATCAAATTGGAAACATTCAAAAAGGCCAAATTTTGGAGAGGAGTTAGATTTAAGTGAACTCTTTAAAGATCCTGAACCAGAAACAACTTTCAACGAAATGTAAGTACATATTATCATTATATAAATAATTTAAGCAATTAAAGTATTTATTTTTGTTTATTATCTAATTAACTAAAATAAATATTTTTATGGTTTACTAACCAGTTGCTATATTAAATTGAACTTTTGCAACAATTTTAATTTGTTTGCAACTAGTTCAGAGTCAACAGGGCCGCAAAGATTTAAGTTCTTCTTTGTTGGTAGTATAAAGCTCATACATTGCTCTTAAAAATATAATTTATTTTTTGTTCACTTAATTTAATACACCACTAATTATTTTTAGGATGCCCATCGTACATATATACGCCCCTATAAGCGTAAGCGTCGTTTAAAGCAAAATAAATATGTAATGTTTTTAGACAGTGATGAATCCGACGACGAAAATCATTCGGCTGAGCAACAAAAGCATCAACGTAGTCATGAAACTGATACTAGTTCGGAACAGGCTCCAAAAAAGAAACGTCAACGCAAAGAGCCCAAAGAAAAACCAGAACTTACTGAATTCGTCGAAGAGTTTAATGAAATGTGCAAAGAAGTTGATAGCTATGAGTTAATTGTGGAAAAGAGTGCATGAGAATTCAATAAAGTATGTATACTTAAAAATATATGTATTTTATTAAGAAATCATTTCAAATCCTATAAATATGTTTCCGTTTTAAATTTTTGTTTAGTTTAATACTTTTATTTGCCTTAAAAAGGATTATTATTTTAAATTTATGTATTTCGATTATGTTTAGTTTATTTTAGTTGAGCTGTGTTTCTGCAATTTTATTTTTTAAGTATTTTTTAACCTATTTTTCGTTTTGAGTGTATGTTCCAGAAGAAATATATTGATTGATTCAATATGCCTTATTTCTAATTATAGAAATTATTATTTATTTTTGTTTTGTGTCTACAACATGTCAAAGAACAATTAATTGTTGTGCTCAATAAAAACTAGATATGAATTTAAAACGACGCCCTTTCCGCGACAATTGGATCTTTGTTTCGAATATAATCGACCACCATACATTGCCTATTTGATTGTCATTTGATTTAAATGAAAAAAGTTTGAAATGTTAATTTCTGAATCAGAGCCTCTATTGTTTGCATATTAGTGGATATTCATGCAAATACGCTTACCTTCCCCTAAAAAGATTTTCATAATTCTAAGCTTTCATATATGTAGCCTAACGAACAGCTGACGTCTTTTTGACACTCTCTCATTTATTTACAAGTGACTAAACAAAAGAGAGATACAAAACGAAATAATTTGTAGCAGCAGAAAAACAATCAAATCCACTGTGATTAATGGATTTTTGATAAATTTTTATAAAAATTAGAACATTAATTTAATTATAAAATATTAGAAATAAAGAAAAATTAATTACAAAACCATAAAGTTTATAAAAACAGCAATATAATGGAAAGTCCCTATGCACCATTAAGTGAATCCTGTGCGAAAGCTCTAGGTGATAAAGTTTATGATAAACGTAAATTGGCTTCACAGGAAATAGAAAAGTAAGTTGTTTTTTTAGTAACTTAATAATGGATTAATAATCAAAATTTCCTAGAATGGTAACGGATTTTAATATAAAAAACAATTCAGCACAAATACGTACTAATAGAAGTATTGTCAAATGATTTTGCCTCTTCACGAGATGCTAACAAAAGAAAAGGTGGCCTAATAGGTTGGCCGCCACCAGTTTGGGTTTGGGAAAGGTGGGTGTGTATACTACATATTGGTTGAGTTAACATTATATTTATTTTCTCTTAAGGATTCCTCTAAATATGTCAATGAACTGGTTACTTCCCATACTCAATTGTTTGAGTGATCAAGATTTACGTGTACGTTATTTTGCCTGTGAATCACTTTACAATGTAGTTAAAGTGGCACGTTCCTCCATTATACCCTTCTTTCCTGATTTGTTTGCGGCCATTATCACGTCTAGTTGCAGATTCCGATCAAATGGTTAAAGATGGCAGTGAATTGTTGGATCGCTTACTTAAGGATATTGTTACCGAGTCATCGCAAACCTTTAACCTGGAGGCTTTTATACCTTTGCTAAAGGAACGCATTTATGTCAAGAATTCTTTTGTTAGACAATATGTTATCTCCTGGATTTCTATATTAAATGCTGTGCCTGAAATTAATATGGTCATCTACTTAACGGATATAATTGATGGTCTCTTTACCATGTTGGAGGATAATACCCAGGAAATACAAAGAATGTGTGAAACTACTTTGACACAATTTCTTAAGTCCATACGTAATGATTCCAGTTCTGTCAAAATGGAAGATACCATCAATATACTCATACACATGCACAATCACACCAAATGAATTGATTAAGGTGGGTTAATAGAAGTAAATCCTGAATTATATTTTATAAATAATCGTTTCTTTAGTCTATAGCCATTACCTGGATACGCGAATTTGTTATAATATTTGGCTCGAATGTTTTACCCTATGCCAGTGGTATTTTCACCGCCATTTTACCCTGTTTAGAATATAATGTGGACAATATGAAAAATATTAAAGAATGTGCTGTTTCGGTTAATAAATCTATGATGAATTTAGTTTCCTCCAAAGAGCATAAATCGAAAAATATTGAACAAATAGAGTTACGTTCTATAATGGCTGTATTGTCACAATATCTAACACACAATTCGGTACAAACTAAAGTGGCGGTATTGGAATGGATACACACATTTACTTATAAATTTTCCCAATGAAGTAAGTTTTTAAATTAATTGAAACTTAACAATAAAATATGTTTTTATACTTTTTTATCTAACATTTTAGATGGCCAATCATACCACCCAATTGGGTAATAATCTTTTGAATATTTTGTCAGATAATTCAGATGAAGTGGTTTTGAAATGTATTTCCGTTTTGGCAGAAATTGTCAATTCTCAACACTCTAAAGGTTAGTTTAATTATTTAGTGAAAATGTAATAGGTTTATTAATTTTCTGTTTTTATTTTAGAAACCACTGATTTCAATAAAGCCCATTATCGTAAATTTTATTAAGTTTAGTTAATTTATTCAATGATGACAAAAGTTTCTTAGACAATCGTGCCAGTCTTATAATTAGGTATGTTTCCTTATCAATTTTTGTTAAGCGTTTAATTTGCATTGTAATTTCTTTTCCTTTTTAGGCAACTTTGCGTTTTATTAAATGCTGAATATATTTATTTGACATTTTCGGAAATCATAGCTGAAGAATTGACAAATCTTAAATTTGCTTCATTACTGGTACGTCTGCTAAACAGTATATTGATGACCTCTTCAGAATTATTCGAATTACGTTCTTTCTTGAGAGATATTTCTTGTGAAAAGTCGGCTAAACTTTTTAAATGTCTTTACATAAGTTGGGCTCATTGTCCCGTCTCTACGCTTTCTCTGTGTTTGTTGGCTCAAAGTTATCAACATGTTTCGGAACTGGTAGTGTTATTGTAAGTTTTTCCAGACTATAGACCGGAGTACAAACTAGACTATAGGATAGGTTATAGGCAGGACTATAGACTAGTCTATAGACTATAGCCTAGACTAATCTAAGACATAATATACACTATAGATTAGACTATAGCCATATATGATTATGAGCACTTATCATTTGTTATTATTTAAACAGTGCTGATGTGGAGATAACATTGGAACTCTTAAATGAACTGGATAAGCTGGTGCAGTTAATAGAAACGCCCATTTTTGCATGTAAGTTTTATAATATTTTAATGGCAGGTTTTTTTTTCTTACATATAATTTTCAGCTTTAAGACTTACTTTGGTTTCGAAAGCAAATAATTGTGCTGATGCCCAGTATTTGGCACATGCCTTATTTGGAATACTAATGTTACTACCTCAAACGGATGCATTTAATATGCTAAAGAATCGTTTGCAAATGTGTACCCAATTACTGGGGACAACAGCCCATGTAAGTTATGGAATGATTTTAATATTTTAAATACATCAATTATATTTATTTCCTTCCTCTATCTCTCAGCAACGAAAAAACATTCCCTACAATATAAAAGTAATATAAATTTCGAAGAATTATTGGAGCATTTTAAAAAGATACAAAAAGCCCATCGTGATCAGCGTCTGACACAACGGAAACGCAGTGTTATAGTAAATGATACTGCTATATAAACAAAGTTTTTTTTTTTAGATTTCTTACAATATTAAAATTTACATAATTATTACATTTTAAGCTGTGATGCTAACAAATATTTATAATTTTACAAATATTATGTTGTAAATTTTCATTATTATTTAAAATTTTTATTATTTCTATTTTTTTGCGATTTTTTTTTTTTATAAATTATAGAAAAAAAGTTCACAATAAAGGCTTTTTATATGATCTTGTTATTAATGGAAGATAAAGAATATTAAAATATTTATTTTAAATCAACTCAAATATGTACTCTTCATCATCTACAGAGTAAAATTTAGTTAAACTCTTCATCATGGCTTTTCTCTGTTCTATTTACATTGTCTTTCCGGCAATACCTTTTTCTCATATTTTTTGTGAATTAATATTATTAAAAATGTTAAAAAGACAAGAGTTTCTCTTCTAATTTATTTCAATTGAAAAAAAAAAAAACGTTTTCTGACGCATAACGCTTGTCGACAGCGCTTGCAATTGTAATCGTACTATAACAATGACTAATCTACTACCTCTTTTATACAACTGTGTGTATTAACTACAAATTACTTCACTACTGAGAACGAAGAAGAGAGCAAAACAATTGTCAATTGAAATTGTCAAAAGCATCTGATTAGTTTAATTACCAGCAGCAGTCACTTTTTCAACAAAACACTTGTGTGTTGTTAAATTTTACGTTTTAGTTTTATTTTCGAAACAAAAAATAAAGTGTAACTAAAAGTTTAAAGAATCAAATAAACAAAATGGGTAATAAATCTTCATTATTGTTGCGTCCCGAAGAAATTGCACAAATTCAAGAGGAGACTGGCTGTAAGTACTAAAGAAATCTCACATCTCTACTATAACTTTCATCATCATTCATCAGTAAAACAACCTTCAGCTAGAATAAATAAACGAATTCATATTACGGGGTCAATTTTGAAGTTAGTAAAATGTACAAATATTTCAATTACTTTTGTATTTTATCAGATAACAAGTGTTTTTTTCATATTATTTATTATCTTAACTATTATCTTTATTTAAGCAATAATGAAAAGTACTATGTATTATTTATTTTCATTTAGCTTCTATTTTTATACCATTAATTGTTATTTAGTTGCTAATTGACTGTTTAACACATTTTTAAGTTGAGCTAATAGAAAAGTAAAGTCGGTCCAGAACTACTTGATGATACTCTACAGCGTTTTGACAAAATTTCGGGGGTGTTAAGGTTTGCGTCACATTTATGGCTAAATATAGACGAATATTAAACATTTTTACAAATGACTGGAGTTTATAGGTGTTGTAAACCTTTTACATTTTACTATAGGCACATTCTTCTTGATGAAAACGATTATTTACGTGTGACTTTGTAACAACAATAATAGATAGTTCCGTTAATAACCATCAGTTCGACAAAGAGTTAAAGCATTTGAAAATGACAGTCATTTCCACTAGCGTCTAACCCCGTTGTTGCCTTTAATTTGTCTTTCGTCATGAATGTATTCTTTGTAAACGAGACTGAACAGTCATTACTTGAGTGTCGCTTTTGTAAGCGAGAACGGAGACAATAGTCAGTTTACTGTCCAAAGTAATCTAGAATGTAGACACTTAATAAAAGAAAAGCGAAAAGGTTCGTTGCCATATATAGACTCCTTATGACTAGATTTCTGACTGTCTCTTTATAATCTATAGAGTGATAATTGACTTCCTCCTAGGACAAGTACATGTTCAAGTAACTAATCATTTGGGTAGTCGGAGGGCTAGTTCGGGACAGTCCCGCGAACTGCTGGGTAGTTTCAGTCAAATGAGTGCCACTGTTCTTGTAGGTTTGTGTCTGTGTTTCTTTCGGCCATTAAATTGTTTATGCTGCATTTAGATAATAGAGATGAATATGTTGAGAAACTAGAAAAAATAAATATTTTTGTTTAGTTTAAGCTGTATTAAACAAAAAGTAAGTAAGAATATATTTCACAAATTAATGTAGAACATAATTGAAATTTATTTATTTACTATGGAAGGAAAATTGTACAATAAAAATGCTTAAAATTTGTTATAATGGGTGTAAGTGTATGTATTATGTATCCCTAGAAAAGTCTTTAGAACGATCACAAGATATACAATTATTGTTAGCAAATAAATTTTATTTTATTACATTTATCTAGTCATTAAACTAGGTATTCCAAATCACATTTGTTGTATCAAAAGTTTTATGAAATCTGGAGCAAAGGGAACGATTATTTAGTTATTATTCCCATCTAATTAAATTTTTAAATTTTCTTTCATATTTAAATATTTTATTCAAATTACAAAAACTTAATACTATTTTAAAGGTTGTTTATAAACTACATTACTACAAAAGAAAAAAACTTAAATGCAGTCAACAGAAAAAGTATATACATACATACATACATACATACATATGTATTTCAATAATTATTTTGTTTTAAATCATCATCACGTGTTGATGCTTTTATGTCAAGTGGAAAATTTTGTTTGTTTTGTTATTAAAATTTCTAATTCGCTTATGACTTAAATTCATTTATTTATTTAACTAAAATAGGCACATAATTTGACGTAATGTTGAAAGCAAACGTACGAAATCGTATTTCATTTCAAGTTGCTTTCAACTATAATTTTTAATATGTGTTCTAAAATATTTATTAAATTATAATTACGTTTATTTTCTTCTTAGATATTTAGTTTTTATTTGATGTTTATCTACAGTTTCATACGTATTAATGGACGTGTATATAATATATAATATTGATAAATATTTTTTTAAAGGTGATAAATTTATGAGTGTCAGCTTTCAAAGTTCTTATTCTAAATTGTATATTATGCGCAATTTTATTGATAGTGATTTTTTTTGGAATGATAAGAATACAAAAACAAGAAGTAATTAGGAAACAACTTGCACTAAGAAGAAAATAATTTAGAATTTTTTTTTAAAAGCTGAATTAAAGAAATACAATTTCATATTACAAGAAATTATATTATGGAAATATTCTACATTATTCAAAAATTTCCACTAAAAATCTTAATTTTCATAAAAAAAACCTCCATTATTATTAAAAATTCAAAACATTCAGTAACAATTAAAAATGTGTACTTAAAATTCAACATTTTTAATTAAAATTAAAAATTTTTGCTTAAAATTCATAAAAATTTTTGAGAAACATTGACTTTATTGTATATAGAAAACTTACTCCAAAGAATCACGACAATGTTCCACAGAACGGCATCCAGAAGTTAAGGCAATGTCACTAGTTCCATGATTGTTGTTTAAAAATCTAGAGTGTATCAGTTTGCATTCGTTCGAGAGCTACGAATAGTCAATTGAGGACAAATTTTAAAAAACTCATTTCAATCATCGATTCGCTCATTTACATGTTTCACCTCCCCCCATTTGAAGCAGAACCAGTTTATAAATAAATTAATTACCACTAACAATAACAACAACACAACACTTTCAGTTACTCCCAATCAAATTGAACGTTTATATTCACGTTTCACTTCTTTGGATCGTGGTGATTGTGGTACCTTATCACGTGATGATTTTTTGCGTATACCAGAATTGGCCATTAATCCATTGTGTGAACGTATTGTTCATGCCTTCTTTGCCGACAGTACCGATGATCGTGTCAATTTTAGGCAATTCATGAAAGTATTGGCCCATTTCCGACCAATTAAAGATAAAAAGGAAAGCAAATTGAATTCACGTGAAGATAAATTGAAATGTAAGTACAAGGTTAAACAAACATTAAAAGAAAAATAAATTTAAATTAAAAAAAAAAAAAATCATTTAATTTTCCAATTCCAGTTGCCTTTAAAATGTACGACTTGGATGATGATGGTGTCATTAGTCGTGATGAACTCTTGAGTATTTTACACATGATGGTCGGTGCCAATATCAGCCAGGATCAATTGATTAGCATAGCTGAACGTACCATTTGGAGGCAGATCTCTGTTGCCAGGGTAAAATTTCCTTTGAGGACTTTGCAAAGCTTTAGAACGCACTGATGTTGAACAGAAAATGTCTATACGTTTCTTGAATTAAACCTATTGGGCAAAACAGCTTTATTTAATTATTTACACACAGAAAATATACATACATACAAATATTTTAAGGCTATTTTTATATAAATAGTAAAAAAAAGTATTAACTTTAGAACAGTTTGTTTTAATCTTATTTTTGTTTTTAGTTTAATTTTTTTTGTGCATTATTTAAGCTTTTTGTTAAAATTTCCATTCATTCCGTTTGCTAACAATGAGTAGTGTTTGTTGTATAGAATTGATAAATGGCCTTTTTTAATATTATTGGTATTAAATTTATTAAGTAAACACTGAATATCAAAATAAATAAAAATGTGCAAATTGTGTACTTAAAAAATTTATAAATATGGAATTTATTTCTATTAGTAAAATGTTTAAAATTGGAAGTATGTAATTGTGGGATGAAGGAAAAGATGGTTATTTTCGGCAATTTTAGTTGTGTTAATGAATATTTTTTTAGTTATTACAGCATATATTTAGGCATTTCATTTAGTGATAACCCAGCCAATATGTTATGAAATTACTGATTATGTTCGAGTCGTTTATGGCTCTTCCATATGAATAAAATAGTCGCAGACGTACTGCGATCATAAAATATATTTTATTCTATTCTATAGAATAGTATTAGTTCTTTATAAGAACTTGTTCTATTCTATAGAATAGAATTAGTTCTTTATAAGAACTTGTTCTATTCTATAGAATAGAATTAGTTCTTTATAAGAACTTGTTCTATTCTATAGAATAGAATTAGTTCTTTATAAGAACTTGTTCTATTCTATAGAATAGAATTAGTTCTTTATAAGAACTTGTTCTATTCTATAGAATAGAATTAGTTCTTTATAAGAACTTGTTCTATTCTATAGAATAGAATTAGTTCTTTATAAGAACTTGTTCTATTCTATAGAATAGAATTAGTTCTTTATAAGAACTTGTTCTATTCTATAGAATAGAATTAGTTCTTTATAAGAACTTGTTCTATTCTATAGAATAGAATTAGTTCTTTATAAGAACTTGTTCTATTCTATAGAATAGAATTAGTTCTTTATAAGAACTTGTTCTATTCTATAGAATAGAATTAGTTCTTTATAGGAACTTGTTCTATTCTATAGAATAGAATTAGTTCTTTATAAGAACTTGTTCTATTCTATAGAATACAATTAGTTCTTTATAAGAACTTGTTCTATTCTATAGAATAGAATTAGTTCTTTATAGGAACTTGTTCTATTCTATAGAATAGAATTAGTTCTTTATAGGAACTTGTTCTATTCTATATAGAATAGAAGTAGTTCTTTATAAGAACTTGTTCTATTCTATATAGAATAGAAGTAGTTCTTTATAAGAACTTGTTCTATTCTATATAGAATAGAAGTAGTTCTTTATAAGAACTTGTTCTATTCTATATAGAATAGAAGTAGTTCTTTATAAGAACTTGTTCTATTCTATAGAATAGAAGTAGTTCTTTATAAGAACTTGTTCTATTCTATAGAATAGAATTAGTTCTTTATAAGAACTTGTTCTATTCTATATAGAATAGAATTAGTTCTTTATAAGAACTTGTTCTATTCTATATAGAATAGAATTAGTTCTTTATAAGAACTTGTTCTATTCTATATAGAATAGAATTAGTTCTTTATAAGAACTTGTTCTATTCTATATAGAATAGAATTAGTTCTTTATAAGAACTTGTTCTATTCTATATAGAATAGAATTAGTTCTTTATAAGAACTTGTTCTATTCTATATAGAATAGAATTAGTTCTTTATAAGAACTTGTTCTATTCTATATTGAGATGACAATTCCTATCAAATATTCTCTAAAGAATAATTTATTTAGGTCATTCCTCTCCTAACTTATACTTTATCTATAACGATCCCTAATGAATAGAGAAATTTACTTATAAATATAAATAAATAAATATTAAAAAAAATTAATTAGAAAATAAAAGTTTATTATTGTTTACAGATTATCCATAATAGTGTTATCACTCGAGTAGTCAAAACAAAAATATCATAAATAATTTGCGAATTTATTTGTTATCAAATTTTAATTAAATATTTAAACATTTGATATGCGTATGAAGCAGAAATATACACAAAAATTGTATCAATAGTCGACATTTCAAATAGTAAAGCAATTAAATTTTTAATTAATTCAATTAACTGTTTACATAAATCTAAATCTGAAAACATTAAAGTTGATATTCAAGAATATTTTTAATCAATTTAAATTAATTTTTGCAAACTAATGGAAAATCTTTATACAAATCGTGTAACTTGTTTTATAAAGCGTACTTGCTATTCGGTTTGGTCTTATACTTATTTTAAAATCTAAAGCATTTCCAGATTAGATGGATTTGCCAATAAATCCAGCCAATTTAATTAAAGATAATTCATTAGGAATTCGCTACTGGTGTTCGGTTAAAAAAAAGGTGTAAACCTTATAAGTATGATTAGTTTCATTGAAGTGATTAACGGAAGTATAACACTTTTGTTAAAATGGCAAAAGAAAAAATTTATTTAAAATTTACAATATTTATATTAATTTTGGGTAAGTTTTTATAAGTTTAAAAATAACAGCAATAAATAAGTTAAAAAAACTAATTTCAGCTTATGTTCGAGCCGAAAGCACACCTTGTAATTTACGTGAAACACCCGATGGCGGCGTTTGTGTCTGCACCTCGTCATATTGTGATTATTTAGAAGATCCTACACCCGAAGAAGAACCCCGTTTCAGTTTAGTGTCGTCATCAAAGGTGAAAATGCATTTTCTTTATCTTATCGTTAAAATCAATAATATTAATATATTTTTTTTTGGATTATCAGGCAGGTCTACGTTTTGAATCCACCAAAGGTCTTTTTAATCTTTTCAAAAAATATTATGTTTTTGATTATGATCAACGTATGCGTTCACAAACACAAAATGAGACAGTACAAATAAATCAAAGATTTAGTAAGTCAAAAAAATAAAACTATAAATGCTAGAGAAACTATAAATATAACGCTCTATTTTAGCCCCAGCCCGCACAGTACGCTTGGAAATAAATCGTGATATTAAACATCGTAAGATTGTAGGTTTTGGAGGAGCTTTCACTGGCGCCGTTTCATATCTATTGCAGAAACTACCACAAGAATTGCAAGATCATCTTTACAAGTGAGAGAAATTGAAATTATCTTCATATAAATTTATTTTAATCTTTAATATTTAAGATCCTTTTACTCTAAAGATGGCATTGGTTGGAATCTATTGCGTATGTCTATTGGTGGCAGTGATTTTGATTTGGAGCCTTGGGCCTATAACGAACTACCCGAAAATGATGCCCAATTAACAAATTTCACAAAACTAGATCCTCGTGATGCCATAAAAGCCCAACAAATACATCGTCTTAAGGAAGTTGCAAAGTCGAATAATTTAAAAATTAAAGGTGCCGCCTGGAGTCCTCCCAAATGGATGAAATCCAATAATGCTTGGACTGGTTTTAGTCATTTGAAAAAGGAATACTATCAAACCTGGGCCGATTATCATTTGAAATGGGTGGAAATAATGGAAAAGAATGGTTTGCCCGTTTGGGCCATATCAACTGGCAATGAACCCATGAATGGTTTAGTCTTTATGAATTTTGTTAAGTTTATGAGTTTAGGTTGGTCTCCTCTCCATCAGGCCGAATGGTTAAGTGATCATTTGGGTCCCACCATTAGAAATTCAAAGTATAAAAATTTAATCATATTCGGAAATGATGATCAACGCTACACTTTCCCCAATTGGTTCCATGTGGTAATTTCTAAAGTTTAATATATAATAATTGCAAGTAAAAACTATCCCTATTCCTACATTGCTATAGATGAAGAAAAAGCGTTCCGATTCTGTGGATTATATCGATGCCTTGGGTGTTCACTGGTATTGGGATGAAATTTTCAAACCCAGTTTTATTGATAAGACTCTGGAACAAATGCCCGAGAAGTTGTTACTCATAACTGAGTCTTGTATTGGTGATAAACCCTGGCAAAAGTCGGTGCCAGCATTGGGTTCTTGGTATCGTGGCGAAAAGTATGCCAGAGCTTTCTTGCAAAATTTGCAACATGGCTATAATGGTTGGATTGATTGGAATTTGTTGCTCGATCAAAATGGTGGTCCCAATTATGTTGATAATACCGTCGATGCTCCTGTTATAGTTAATACAAATAGTAGGTTTTTATTTATTTACTCTGGATTACAAAAACTTCTTGTGTGTCTTTTATTTCAGATCCCAATGAGATTTTAAAACAACCCATGTTTTATACTATGGGTCATTTCTCGAAATTTATACCTGAAAATTCGGTACGCATTGATGCGATTCGCAGCAATGTTAATATCGATAGTGTGGCTTATTTGCGCCCTGATGGCTCCATTTCTGCTGTTCTCTTCAATAGGTATTTAAATTATTAAAGTCTTTTACCCAGATTTTTAATACCTACCTATTTTTTCTTTCAGTGGCAATGCTAATGTTGAAATTACCGTTGTGGACAGTGTTAGCGGTACTATTGTTATTAACTTACCTCCCCGTTCTATTCATACATTACTTTATCGCTGAAAATATTCTACTAAATAAATTTGTTTAAAAATAATTGTTATTTTTTATTTAAATAATAATAGACTTGTTTTTGTTATAAATTTTATCGGTCTATTTTATTGTTCCTATACAAAGGCCATCGATAAAGCAACCAAATACTTATCGGTTGAGGATTTTTCTATATAATTCTCTTTAAAATTTTGATTTATGACTTGAAATGAGTCAATCTTTTAAAAGAGAAACAATTTAACTTAATTTTTTGAGAACAGAGGTCACAAGTCTAATTATCGCAAAATGAGAATGGTGGTTTCACACGATATGAAGCTCGTTAAGGGAAAATTTTCAACACTACATATCAAGAAGATAGATAGATGGATAGATAGATATAGATAGATAGATAGATAGATAGATAGATATAGATAGATAGATAGATAGATAGATAGATAGCTATAGATAGATAGATAGATAGATATAGTAGATAGATAGATCGATGATAGATGATATCTAGATAGATAGATCTATCGCTCGTCGCTCGCTCGCTCGCTCGCTCGCTCGCTCGCTCGCTCGCTAGATCTCTCGCTCGTCTCGCTAGCTCGCTCGCTCGCTCGCTATCGCTCGCTCGTCGCTCGCTCGTCGCTCGCTCGCTCGCTCGCTCGCTCGCTCGCTCGCTCGCTCGCTCGCTCGCTCTCGCTCGCTCGCTCGCTCTCTCTCGCTCGCTCGCTGGTTCGCTCGCTCGCTCGCTCGCTCGCTCGCTCGCTCGCTCGCTGCTCGCTCGCTCGCTCGCTCGCTCGCTCGCTCGCTCGCTCGCTCGCTGCTCGCTCGCTCGCTCGCTCGCTCGCTCGCTCGCTTCGCTCGCTCGCTCGCTCGCTCGCTCGCTCGCTCGCTCGCTCGCTCGCTCGCTCGCTCGCTCGCTCGCTCGCTCGCTCGCTCGCTCGCTCGCTCGCTCGCTCGCTCGCTCGCTCGCTCGCTCGCTCGCTCGCTCGCTCGCTCGCTCGCTCGCTCGCTCGCTCGCTCGCTCGCTCGCTCGCTCGCTCGCTCGCTCGCTCGCTCGCTCGCTCGCTCGCTCGCTCGCTCGCTCGCTCGCTCCTCGCTCGCTCGCTCGCTCGCTCGCTCGCTCGCTCGCTCGCTCGCTCGCTCGCTCGCTCGCTCGCTCGCTCGCTCGCTCGCTCGCTCGCTCGCTCGCTCGCTCGCTCGCTCGCTCGCTCGCTCGCTCGCTCGCTCCTCGCTCGCTCGCTCGCTCGCTCGCTCGCTCGCTCGCTCGCTCGCTCGCTCGCTCGCTCGCTCGCTCGCTCGCTCGCTCGCTCGCTCGCTCGCTCGCTCGCTCGCTCGCTCGCTCGCTCGCTCGCTCGCTCGCTCGCTCGCTCGCTCGCTCGCTCGCTCGCCTCGCTCGCTGCTGCTCGCTCGCTCGCTCGCTCGCTCGCTCGCTCGCTCGCTCTCTCGCTCGCTCGCTCGCTCGCTCGCTCTCGCTCGCTCGCTCGCTCGCTCGCTCGCTCGCTCGCTCGCTCGCTCGCTCGCTCGCTCGCTCGCTCGCTCGCTCGCTCGCTCGCTCGCTCGCTCGCTCGCTCGCTCGCTCGCCCTCGCTCGCTCGCTCGCTCGCTCGCTCGCTCGCTCGCTCGCTCGCTCGCTCGCTCGCTCTCTCGCGCTCGCTCGCTCGCTCTCGCTCGCTCGCTCGCTCGCTCGCTCGCTCGCTCGCTCGCTCGCTCGCTCTCTCTCGCTCGCTCGCTCGCTCGCTCGCTCGCTCGCTCGCTCGCTCTCGCTATCTGTCCTGTTTCTTCTCGCTTTGGCAGAATACACCCAATCGTAACCATTGAACAATGGAATTGCTTCTTTGGAATACCATTTTTCGATCGTTGCGTACTGAATGCGTAAACGTAATCGAAATGCAGAATATGGGTGAATAATAGAGAAAAATACAATTATTTTTGTATCCGAATAAAAATCGACTATTTGTTGTAAAATATCAACAATGATTGCAGTTGATAATCCTGTAAAATAAAAGTAATATAGGTATACATTATTAAAGGCCCTTATCAAAATACAAATTTCTTTTAATACCTATGAGTACACGAATACAAATTTGAGAGTAATTCCATAAAATATCTCATGTATGTAAGTTAAATTGAGTAAAAATTTATTAATGAACCGACCAAAACAAAACGCAAATATTTACTTTTATAAATAAATAAAAAATACGAGAAGAGATTAACAATAACAATTTAAATGTATATAGTTGCGTTAGACCCCCCTAAATATATCTCCTATCATTGTATAGGTAGATAACTGACTGCAATACAAACTCTCTATAGAGATTGTACAATAACAGTATAAAGGGGACAGTTAACAAGTCAAGACCTATGATTAAACGTATTTTTCAAAACTTTTTGCGGAAGTTATACAAAGAAAGTGGAATTTGTTAGTATATATTTTTAAAAGAGATCGCTAACAATTATTGAAATTGTATAAAAACAAATGAAATTGTGGGCAAATTTATTAATAATATTAAGTTATATTTTAAAGCAATGTGGTAAGTAGTGATGTAAATTGTAAATTAACGCATAATTACTTTATGAAATGTTATATCTTTTACTTATATCGTTTCTAGATACTATAACTATACCCTGTGATCTTCAACCATCTAAATATGGTTTTGTTTGTAAATGCACTGCCGATTATTGTGATTATTTAGAGGAACCTATCCTGAAATCGGATAACAATTTGTTTGTAGTTTCTACAAGTAAAGTAAATTAGTTAAAAACATTTGTTATTATTTTTCAGTTGTTACTTTTTATATAAATATTTATTTTAGGATGGTTTACGTTTTTCTGTAACTGAAGATGAATTTGGTTCAACTAAATCTCTTAAAATCAAAGATTATCATGAATCTCTTAAGAGCAGGGAAGAATTTAAATCATTTAATATAGATGCTTTAGATGTGGATAATGCCAGATCCCTGTTTCAGCTATATGGAGGAAATGAAAGATGTAAGTTAAATTTTGAGTAAATGAGAATTGTTTATGAGGAATTTATTCAAAAAAATCTTAGAATTTAACATGATCACTTTACTACTAGTGGGATTTATAATAACAAAATTATCGATTATTTATAACATAGAGTGTTTATCTTTTCTTAGATTTAATTTTACCTCAAAGAATGAGTAAATCATCTATAACTGTAGATCGTTCTAAGACTTATCAGAAGATCGTGGGATTTGGTGGAGCTTTAACAGGAAGTGTGGCATATTTACTAAAGAAATTAAAGACCTCTTTGCAAGATCACTTATACAAGTTACAAAATTAATATTTAAATTCTTCTGCCATCCACTAATCTATTATCACTTTTAGATCATATTTCCACAAAGATGGTATAGCCTATAATATTTTACGCACTTCTATAGGAGGTTGTGATTTTGATTTAAAACCCTGGGCCTATAATGAGTATCCGCAAAATGATAAACATTTAACAAATTTCACAGCATTGGATCAACGTGATTTATTGAAAATTGAACAAATTAAACGTTTAAAATCCATAGCTTTATTGGATGATCTTAAAATAATGGCTGCTGCCTGGAGTCCACCACCCTGGATGAAAACGAATAATAATTGGACAGGTTTTAGTAGTTTGAAACCAGAATATTACGAAGCCTGGGCTGAATATCATTTAAGGTACGATGTACATCAACATTAACATAATATGTATTTCAAAAGATTTTATCATGATCATTGGTATTTTAAGATCATTTGTAGAATTAGCTTTTCTTGCTTGTGTTTGCTCATTTGCTTCATTTCCTTTTACATGTGCAGATTTCTTGAATTAATGTTGTCTAAAAATATAACGATATGGGCCATATCCACTGGCAATGAGCCACTAAACGGAGTCATTGGTTGGCTTTTTGTACATTTTATGAGTTTAGGTTGGACACCAAGAAATCAGGTATACTATATATACACTTGAAAATATTATAAATATTTGTTAGTTTGTGAAAAAATAATAAGTTTTTCTTTTTGTGTTATTAAGGCGATTTATTTGAATGATTATTTGGGCCCAGCTTTGAAGGAATCACGCTTTAAAAATGTTTTAATATTTGGCAATGATGATCAGCGTTACTCATATCCCGCATGGTTTAAAACGGTAATTAGAAAATTAAAAAATCTGGTATCGGCAAAGAGCTCCCTTACTTTTATGAAAAAGAAAGGAAGGAGAGAGAGTCAGATGGCTTAATTGCCGCACTCTCTCTCTCTTATTCTCCGACTTACTAGATATTAACAAAAATAATATTGCAATATTAAACTGTTTATAAATTTCAAGATGAATTCCTCGCGACCCGGTTCTCTCAACTATCTTGATGGTTTAGCCGTACACTGGTATTGGGATGATTTATTTGGACCAGAACTTATAGATAAAACTTTACAATTAATGCCCAACAAATTACTATTAAATACTGAAGCCTGTGTGGGTGATAAACCTTGGCAAACTCGTGGACCTGAGTTGGGTTCATGGGAAAGAGGTGAACAGTATATACGTTCTATACTACAAGATTTACAGCATAATTTTAATGGTTGGATTGATTGGAATCTAATGTTGGATGAGCGGGGAGGACCCAACTATGTTAATAATACCGTTGATGCTCCCATAATTTTAAATACTGAGAGTAAGTTGAAATAAATCGATTTCAAATTGAAAACAATCCAAAATAATCCTTTATTTACAGACAATTCTGAATTTTATAAACAACCCTTATTCTATGGCATGGGACACTTTTCGAAATTTATTAGCGAAAATTCTCAACGTATTGAAGTGAAATTGTCATCTATACAAAATTCAATTGATGCGGTTGGATTTAAAAGACCGGATAATAAAATTGTTTTAATAATATATATAGGTAAGCAAGAAAATGTATTGAATTACAAGAAAGAATTTAACGGCCACAGTTGCCTCTAAATACTTAATGTGGCACGCTTTTAATGTGAATATTAAGTAAACTAAAATGTTTTCTAAGTGTTTTTATGACACACTGTTATTGCAAAGAACTATTAACGCGCGTGTTTAGTGTTAAAA